TCCCTCCCCGGTTCCCCCTCCGCGGCTGCGGTACGGGGGCGCGCCCCGGTTGGAAGGTCCCCCGTTCCCACGGCTAACTTTTGCGAAGGGGGAAAAAAAAAAATTAAAAAAAAAAAAAAAAAAAAGGGGGGTGCCTGCGCACCCCGCGGAGGGGCTGGGGGTGAAAGTCGTCTGCAGAGTTAAGTCACCGCGGAGAAGGGGCTGGCGAGCGCAGGAGGGGTCCGCGGAGAAGGTTGGCCCCTGGAAGATGCTCGTGGTTTGGGGGAAGAGGGATGGTAATCCTTCACTTTCCCCGGGAGGATTTCTAGGATTTTTTTCCAAGTCGCAAACCTCTGGAATCGCTGCTCACCTGCGCTTTCCGAGGGGTTGTTACGGGAGAAGGCACGATGAAGTACAAGTCCCCAGGAAAAACTTGCACAAGCCTGTCATTAAAACGGTATCAAAGTGCTTGCGCAAGGCTGAGTTAAAGCCGCGCTCGTGCCCTTAGCTCTCCACTTTTTTGACTGGCTGCTTGAATGGGTGATGTTAACAACGTTCTCGCATTTTATTTTCCCCGGGTAATTGTTTAGAAGCTGGACAGACCTATAGCGAGGTCTGTCTGCTGGGGAAAGGGACGTGCGTCCATTTGTTTGTCCTTGGCCACGACTCTTCAAAGTTACGCAGAACCGGTGCGAAACTCAAAAGGGGAAAATAAGTGAGCGTGCACGTACCAGCTGTCCCTTCCAGGTCATGCTCCATGCTTCCAAACCTGAAAGCCAGGCCTCATTTTGAGCAGTCTTACGCATGACCGAACCCCTTCCAGCAAGGAATTCAGTTGTCAGATGTATGCGTGCCCTATTTTGCTGCTAATCGGGACTGAGAAGTGACACAGGGAAACAAAGAGCCTGGTCTCGCTCCCCGCGCTGCCCTAACGTGCGCTCTGCCGGTACAGCCCGCAGACTTTTGCTGCTGTCCGCGTTGCTCTCTCATCTCGCATCTCTCAAGCCATGCGTGTACCGAAACGATCTGCGATGCCGGAGAGCCGGCAGGCTCGGGGAGCCCGTGTGCGATAGTGGGGATGGAGCTCAGCCTCACGTCCTCCGGTGCTGGCCGAGCCGATCAGCCAGGCTTAGCTCACAGACCTCAAAAGCGAGGTGACGGGTACCGTCCCTGCCCTTACATCTGTCCTCGATGAAGTAGGGAAGCCTGTCCTTCCCTCACACCCTGCAACCCCATCACTCCTTTCCCCCAGCCGAGAGCTCTGATACGGCTATTTCGTAAAATCCCCATCGCTGCAGGCGCTGCTCTGCAGCAGCAGAAGCTGTGGGCTCTGGCCGGAGTGGCACAGCCACCTCCAGGCAAGGGAAGAGGAACGCTTTGTCCAATGTCACATAGCACAGCAATGAGTCAGCTCCATCCCCTGTGCCTCGGGCACCTCTAGCCAGGTCTCCATGGGAAGCAGGTGGGATTGCCAGCGCTCAGAAAGTTGGAATAAGTAGCTGAGCCCCTTCCGAGGAGCGGGGCAGAGCCTGCCTTCCTGGGTGTGAACGGCAACTGCAGAAGAGGACTCATGAAATTCAAATTACCTGCCATGTCGAGCCCCTGTTTTCTTCCATCTCTCTAAGAGGTTTCTCTCCGTTTGGAACTTTAATACTTAATTTTCACACTTAAAGCTGTGCTGATCCCCTATGTTTGAGCAGCAATAACTGCCTTACATCTGCTTTTGCTGTCTCTGTAACCGGCTGCCCAATTTGTCACTTTTAGGATGATGGCACACTTTTTATCGTGCCTTCACCAGTAAAGACTGGATCAGTGATCAGGCTAAATCCCCCGGGGAATAAATGCTCAGGAGGCCCACGAACCCTGGGGAGCAGCAGCACGGCTGGCGGGGAAGGGTTTAATCTCATCTGCATACCGGCTGATAGTTGTGTCACACGTGTGAGCTCACAGCGCAAGGGGACTCTTGTTCACAGCTGAGAGCTGGGTGTGACATATTTTCATCACCATCATTTTGCGGGACGTGTTATGTGACAGCCCTGCTAAGCTAAAATTCATCTGGGATCCATGTGAGTATCACATGAGTTGCGGCTGCCCTGAATAGATCTTACAGAGCTACTCATGCCTCATGGAAAAATTTTTGAAAAACACTATTCTGAAAAGCAATTTCGCTAGGAAGATTTATGAGATGACAGATTTCCGAGGGCCTTTTTCCGTTTGTTTACAAACACTGCAACGCTAATGCAAGTGTGAGCTGTTCCCGTCATAATCCTAACGCCGTGCTCATGTCTGGGCCACTGTGTTCCCAAAATTGTTCTTGCTGGCAATTAACAAACCCCACAAACCTCAAGCAGAACTTTCTTTTGATTTTAAGACTTTCCCTTCAGTTTTCCTCCATGACCAACTTCCTACCATTTTATCTCCTAGTTGCGTCCAGTACGGACCAGTTGGTCAAGCCGTTAGTCAGGATAGCCCTAGATGCTGGAAGCTGGCATCGCTTCTAACAGCTCAAATATAGCCAAGATTTTTCGTTGTCCTCATTCCCGACCCTGCGACTGCCCAGCACCTTACTGCTGCAGCAAGATGATTTCAGGACATAGCTGCTCCAACCACCTCTATTTAAAGGAAGCCCTTGGTTAGGCATTAACAGTGGCGAGCTCGTGACCTGTGGCAGGGCTCCTCCTGCCCAGAAGAGTCCGTGACACCAGCCCGATGGATAATCAGGTCATTACACCATACAAAAACCTGCCTTCACATTTCAGCTGTGCAGCACGGCCTCTCTCCCGGGGGACGGTGGTCCTGCCTTTGCAGGGCACTGATTTAATGATTAACAGACCATCTTAATCTCCAACAACTGCCGTTCCAATAACAATACCCTCCTTTTTGCAAGGGTCTCTAAGCGGTTTATAAACATTAATTAATGAAGCTTCACAGGGCACCCCGGGGAGCAGCTGAACATTAACCCGGAGCAGGGAGAAGCTCAGGCACATCCCTCATCCAAGCGAGACCGGCTGCAGCCATCCCACCTCACCTGCAGCTGCTGGTCCAGCCTCATCTCACACAGGACAGCACACTCTTAATCAGCTCACAGCCCACAACAGCGTTATAAAACCCGACTCGAGCTGGCTCAGAGCTTTAAGCAGAGTCCAATTTTCTTGCTCTTTTGTCTGCAGTCGCCGTGATTTGGTGGCCCGTCTCTTGGCAGCCTCTAATCTGTTGGGATGAGTGGGCTGGTGCTTTCTTGCCTCTTCAGAAGGTGCTCCACATGCTTTCAGCCCCGCTGCAACCACACAACAACAGCTAAAATGGTTCTTTCAAATAGGATATCGACCCGTGGTCTTGGTCTCATAAGCGCCTCTGAAATTTCATGCTGTGTCCTGGATTTTAAAATGGGTCAAAGCTCCCCCAAGCATCAAATCGTTCTCTCAAATTTCATACTAAAACCAGAGAAAACCACAGTGTTACTTGTTTGGGGATGAAAAACCCTGTCTAGTCACTGAGAAAGTTGTGGGTTTGTGAGAGTTCAGAGCCATCCACTCCCACCAGAGAGTGTAAAAAAAGATGACAACGATTAAGGCTACAAACAAAAGTACAGATTATTTAATACATCAGAATTTATTCTTAATTTCCAGCTAAACCCCAAACCCTCAATACTTTGACATCACAGGCCTTGAGGCTTTGAAAGCCTGAGTATGTGGATCTTGGGAGAAAAAGATACTTTAAACAAGGTCCAGCCTTTCAGACATTGAGGTTTCCTGTTGGTACACTCATGCTACCAGCATCTGTCGGTAGAAGAGCCATGTATTGCTCTATTTCCCAAACAGGAACTGCTTTTCATAGTAATCCCACCTAACTTTTATTGGAGAAGAATTTTCTATTGACATCCAAGGTTTCTGGACAAACTGGTACTGCTCTCTGGTAGCAAGGAGGAGCCAGGCTGCCGCTGCTTTGAGTCCTGGCTCTGGCAAACGTTTCAACAGATGACCCAACTCCAGACACCGATTGAAGCCTGTATTTTAGCAAACCTCCCAAGGGTCAGGACACGATCGGTTCTGGTCAGAGCCACAGGCCAGCCAGCACAGACAGGTACTGCCTAAAGTTTTTGGCAGAGCTGGGCCAGCAAGGTCTGTCCCTGAAGGCAGCACCTTGCCTGGGACATCTCCAGCCTCCTGCAGCAGGGTGGCTGGATCCCATCCCAGGGCTCACTCCCCAGAGTGAATCTGTGACCATGGGATCCTAAGAAAAAGGCAAGTCACCCCTTACTGGGATCCCGTGTCACCTTCCTCTGCAATTTATTTCAATAATATCACACACAGTGGAATATAAAGCTGAAGATCAATCTCATAACCATATTAAGACACTCCAGGGTGTATTTTATAGGGCCATTAATACACTTCTTGGGTGGTTAAAGTCACCCACAGCATAAATTAATGGCTCCATAAAACATGCTCTGTCATATCCTATGGCTTAAATAACACACAACAGGACGGGTATATTGGGATGTTGTTGAGCTTATTGGGTGGAAGCACAAGGGCACGCAGTGACCGCCTGGCAGCAGGTATGCCCTCCTGGAGATGCCGGCCTTGGGGTGTCTTACAGATAGCATGAAACCAATGGGCAAGATTCTAAAAAAAAAAAACAAAAC